CCCGCCGCTGGAAGGGCGGCCTCGGCCGGGACGACTGAGCCCTGAAGTCTCACCCCCGGGCTCAGCCTCTGGCCTCTCCTCTCCGCTAAGTTTCTCTTTGAGTCTGGCGGGGGGGGGGTTCTCTCCGGGTTTCACCGGCAGCGGCGTGTGCTGGGAGAGAAGCTGGGGCCGTGGCGCTTCCCTGCCCCCGTGGGGAGCTGGGGTGGAGGGCTGGGGCTCTTCGGGGAGAGAGGAAGAGCGCTTTCTTTTCCCCTTGAAAGAGCAGCCAAGTCCCCACCCCTCAGGTGGAGCTTTGCCTCTTATCAGGACTGTTCAGAGAAAGATGAAGGTCGGCCCTGGGGCTAGCATTTGGCTCCACTAACCCAAGTGTACCCCACAGTCTCAGGCTCGCGCCTGTATCGATCCACCCGCACCCATCCACCTGCACCCGTCCACCCCTCCACCCACACCTGTCCACCCTCNATCGATCCACCCGCACCCATCCACCTGCACCCGTCCACCCCTCCACCCACACCTGTCCACCCGCACCCATCCACCTGNTCCACCCCTCCACCCACACCTGTCCACCCTCACTCGTCCACCCATCCTCCCAAACATCCTCCGTCCACCCATTCATCCATCTACCCGTCTTCCCTTACATCCTTCCAGGGCCCACACATCCATCCGTCCTGCTGTCCATCCATTTATCCAGCCACCCTCCCCTACAACTTCCCCTTCATCTTTCCATAAGGGCTTGTCCACCCTTCTTCACACACCACATGCATTTATACACTGCCTTCTCCTCCGTCCTTCCACCTACGGACCTGGTCACCAGTGTATCCACGCACCGTCCACCCCTCGTCACACATCCACGCATCCATTTATCCACCCTCTCACCCACCCACACTTCCATCCACTCTTTCTTGCTCCCATTTATATCCTATCTGCGCAGACATTAATCCTTTTCCCTCCATCTGGTCTACCCAGTAATTCTCAAAAGGGAAGGAGATGGGCATGGTCTTCAGGGAGGCATTTTGAGTTTGAAAACTCATATTTGCATTGTCATTTCCTCTAATATACTGTGGTTTAATCTTTGAAAATCAAAAGTAATATTAATTACCAATGTGGACCACTGAAAGCAAATAGGAATGGACTTCTTGCCTGGTGAGATACACAGAAAATGATAGTGGTTATCAGTGACTGTGACCAGACCCCGAAGGAGCCATTTCACAATTTCTGAGGGAATGTAATTTCTTTCTGATTTTGTTATTTACTGGAAGAAATGGAAAAATGGAGAGAAAGTGCACTTGTCCATCTTTAATTGATCAAATGTGTAGTGAGTGCTCCAAGATGTCAGGAGAAATGAGACCTGCCCTGTCTTCCAGGGGCCTCACACTTGGGCAGCGAATGAGGCTCATGAGCAGGCGGTGACCACACAATATGTATGCAGAGTGCTCTCGGTCCTAGAAAAAAAGAGTTGCACCCTTTCCTGGGGAACATCTAGTTCAATGTCAGTTTTTTGGTTTTTTAAAAGTATTTTTAAAAATATGTCTTTATTGATTTCAGAGAGAGGAAGGGAGAGGGAGAGAGAGATAGAAACATCAAGGATGAGACAGTCACTGATCGGCTGCCTCCTGCACACCCCCTACTGAGGATTGAGCCTGCAACCAGGGCATGTGCCCTGACTGGGAATCAAACCTTGATTTCCTGGTTCATGGAGCCACGTTCAACCACTGAGCCACACCGGCTGGGCCATGTCAGTTTTTACATTGGGGATAGTCCGAGTTCCGATAGAGAAAATGTTTAGTACTGAAAAATCACTGGGCCTACTCCCCGACCACTGGGCTGGCATTCCATGATTCAAGGGGTGGCCTGCCTGAGATGAAGACAGTGCCTCTGAGCCCCACCTGAAGAGCAGGCACTTTGAAAAACGCTGTCAGTTGTAGCAGGGTTGACCCTGATGTTGTCTGTGACCAAGAGGACACTTTCTTGAAACAATTAGAGGGCAAACTGGCTCCCAGGTAGATCCTCAGGCGTTAACCTCGTGAGAAACCAGCCCTGCTGAGTTCCATGGAAAGAATCTTAAAGAGTAGCCTTGGACACATTGCCTCCAAGGCGTTCGGCTTTCGTTTTTTGGAGGAGGGGAGTGAAGCAGGGTGGATATTTACTAGAAACAATGTCTTACTGTGTCCCATAGAACTTGGAGGTTCCTTGGACACCCCTCAGAAACAGACACAGAGGTCAAAGCAAAGGCTTAAGCACGGGCTGTGCCTCCCTCACCTTTGTTCGCATCCCAACAGCAAAAGTTCCACTCACATCGATCTTACACACTAGACTGCTGTGTGAGATTTCATTCTGACAAAGGATTCTTACTTTTTAAAAATATATGAAAACTACTACACCAGGTCATCTCGAACCCTGGTCCCTTCCGAGTTTGTACGGTAAAGAGTCAGCAAATGAGTAAACAGGTGGACAGTGCTTTGCAAAGTATAGCAGGGCATGCAAATTCTAGGGATTGCAATTAGGGTTCCTCTCCCGGGGGGACTATTGGGCAGGCCTGCTTCCTGATCGTTGAGGGAGGGACTGAGGTTGTTGGGCCCCACTCCACAACTGACTCATTTCAAGCTGACCTGGTGACTTACTGAGTCAGGGTCAGCCTTAGGGAATTCCTGGATCACCTCTCTGAGCTCCTCTGTCATCTTCGTTCCAGTCCAGACACACCACCCACACCACTGGTCTCACAAAGACTTTCCCATGCTCTTCCTGGAGCCTCCATAAAGATTAAATCCTTAAAGTTACTAATTTTAGATATTCAGTATCTGTCGTGTGTTGCACCAGATAACCTTTCTAAGCCAAACCATGGGATGTGGGAAACGGAAAAGGAGAGCTTGAGTTGATCTGGGTTGACCTGAGATCACATATTTGGCAGGAATCCAGGGCGCAGTCAACAGCCTTGGGTGGAGAAAGCCCAAGTCTGAGCACCGGCTCTCCCTGGTATCAACCAGTGACTACTCAGGTCACTTAACCCCTGGGAGTTTCAGTTATCTCATCCACAGAACACAACTAAGAAGACCTCTCTCACAGCTCGTTATGAGTAGTAAGTGAAAGAAGGCATCAAGACCTTCACAGGGGTGCCTACCTCACCGTGGGACCCAATGAATGACCTGCTCACCTGCCTGGGGACAGGACAGGTCTATCATGTGCAGCTCTCGGGGCTCTATCTCTGGCTAAGTAAGCACGCATTACATAAATGCATAAGTCACTCTTGTTCTGTTTCTTCCCAACACACCTGAGAGGGGACCTCAGGAATCACTGAGCCGATAGGTAGAAGCATTTAGACAGCTGGACACTTTCTAGGCAAATGGGCACAGCAGCGTCATATCTAGGTGACCTCTTTCAGAAGGCCCGGTAGAGCCAGAGCATGGTTCACTCTGGCAGACCAGTGTTTGTTTATTTTTTTTCTAAATATTGGGGCTTTCTGGCTTCTGTCTAGCAATTAATCTTGTTCTTCTTAAGTAAAGAAAAGTCTAAACCAAATGTGAGCAGGAGTGTGTGGTGTGAGAATGGGAGGTGGGAGCCTGAACCTTGGGATTTGAGGATTATAAATACAGAAGGTCACTGGGCTCTTTTAAAGGGACAACATTCAATTCTGTGTCCTAGAGAAGGAGCAATCTGGCAAGGAAAAGAGAAAGTACCATTGCAGTTAAGCTGCGAAAAACAAAAATCCATTCTTAGTTCACCCTCTTAGTGTGAATTCTGCACGTGCAAATAAACAGTGGGAAAAAGCTCTCGTGAAATAATTATTAGTAAAGTCTAAACCAGTAATTTGGGAAGCAATCTTCATGATAAATAAATGACGTTGAATGACTGATTAATCTCAAGCTAACCAAGTGTAATAATGGAGTTGGGAAGCCTTAGAATTACTAAGGCTTTCAAATTATGGCAACTAAGGTAGTCGGTGTGACTGCTGCACCCTGGGAATTCCGAGGGGACAAGGCACCTCTAGATTCTAGATATGTCCATGTCGGTTGCAAAATGAGTTTTACACAGATCTTCGGATGTTAAAATAATATGCCAATAGGACCAACTCCACAATTAGATGGTAACTAGTTAAAAATGTGAATTTTTGAGGATGAAATTTGCATTAATGATGTGTGACTTTATGTAGCAAGCTAATTGGGAAGAAGACAAATGAAAGAATATATTGTATGTGCTATTGTTGCAAAGAAATGTAATTGTGTTTCTTTTAAGTACATGTAGTAACAAAAATTCTTATTTATTCATTTTCTCTCCTCTCCAAGCAAATTGTTAGTTAAACATCTTTTGGAAGGCTTTAAGGAATCTGCATTAATGAACATTTAAGCGTAATGTGTGTTGGTCACACCCATGGTTAATATATACAGGGGCAGGCAAAAGGAGGTTTACAGTTGTTTGTATGGCAAATAATACAATAATTAGTACATAATGATACAAGAATAAACTCCATTTTACATATTCACAGCTATAAACCTACTTCTTTTGACTCCTGTAAATGGTCATTAATATCCTTGGGGTTATCTGAAAATAGCTTGTTCTAGTCATTCTTTCACTATGTGATAATTACGTGCTGAGGAAAATTTAAACATCCCTGATTCTGTCATAATTAATCATCACCACTTCGCC